CGCTGCTATCCTGACGGACCTCAAAGACAACCTGTGGCTCGATCGTGGAACTCGGGTTCTTTTCATTGACTTCACTGCATACAATGCCAACATCAATCTCTTCTGCGTTATAAGGTAGGCCTACTTGACCTAAATCAACATGTTTTGCTCTTGTTCTGCATGTGCACATTTGTATATTTGCTCTGGTTCGCAAGGTTAGTCAATAATATCAATAATAATTATATTTCTACATCTGTTACTTAACATAAACTGTCCTTTTCAATGTACAAGGCAGACCAAAATACTTTATTCCTGATTACCTAGGATTATTTCATTGAATTAGTTATTACATTTATATATTTATTATAATTTAAATAAACATATATATATATACAATATTAAAATAGTAATCTGATGTAATGTATTATTTTATTGCATTACATTTGTTTAAAACAAAAACAAAAACAATTGTTTTCTTCTTCTTTGTTCAGATTAGCGGTTGAATTTCCAGCTACCGGTGGAGCAATTCCATCCTACCAGATCCGTACTGTAAAGCTGATTCGTTATGTCAACACGTGGGATTTCTTCATCATCGGCTGTGAGATCTTGTTCTGCGTCTTCATACTCTATTACATTGTGGAGGAGATTCTGGAATTCCGAATCCACAAACTGTCGCATTTCAACAGCATCTGGAACATACTAGATATAGTGGTCATACTGGTAGGAGGAAAACAGATCATATCAGTATCAAATATTCTAGCCATAATAATCAACAAATCATCATATGATTTGGGAAACATTATTTGACCAAAGCAGACTCTGACAGTAACTGTGTTTTTTTTTTATCAGCTTGCTGTGGTAGCAATAGTCTTCAGTGCGTTTCGGACCATCAAAGTGGATGAGTTACTTGGAAACCTTCTAGAACAACCTGACATCTATGCTGATTTTGAGTTTCTGGCATTTTGGCAAACTCAGTACAACAACATGAATGCAGTCAATTTGTTTTTTGCTTGGATTAAGGTAAGTATGCATACATACACTGTAAGGTGAAGTTTCAGATATACAGTATAATTAAAGTGACCCATTTTGATATGTTGATGGCTTCAATATTTGCAGATCTTCAAGTACATCAGTTTCAATAAGACGATGACCCAGCTTACATCCACCCTGGCTCGCTGTGCATTAGACATCTTCGGATTCGCCATTATGTTCTTCATTGTGTTCTTTGCATATGCTCAGCTGGGTTACCTGCTCTTTGGAATGGAAGTTGAAACATTCAGCACATTTAACAAGTGCATGTAAGGGTGAAACATATAAAACACATTTTTTATGTTTTTTGTTGTTGTTGTTGTTGTTGTTGTTGTTGTTGTTGTAGTTTATTGGGACATTCAGAATCTTTTATTTCTCCTTTCTGCAGTTTCACACAATTTCGAATCATCCTCGGAGATTTCGATTATGATGCCATTGACAGGGCAAACAGAGTACTTGGACCAATATACTTTTTCTCCTATGTGTTCTTTGTCTTCTTTGTGTTACTGGTAAGTTCTTTATGTGCATGTGATGAAATAATTGTTTGTTCTAAATCATAAGTGCCTGTTTATCAATTAACCTGATAAGTTGAATTGAACAGAACATGTTTCTGGCCATCATCAATGACACCTACTCTGAGGTGAAGTCAGAACTCGCTTCTCAGAAAGATGAGTTCCAGATTGCAGATCTCATCAAACAGGTGAGTCATCCCAGTGCATGCAGTAGATAGTACATCCATCTACAAATCTGCTAAATTTATGTTTGGAAAGCTGTGTAACCACTACAAAAACCAACACTGCTGTGATTTGACGGTTTAATTGCATGTGGGAAATGATGCTTTAATTTCAGAGTTATGAGAAAACCGTCATGAAACTGAAACTTAAAAAGGAAAAGATCTCTGATGTTCAGAAAGCCCTGGATTCAGGTTCAAGTGAGCTGCAGTTTAAAGATTTCAGGGATGCTTTGAAAGAGTAAGTCTCAGGTGAAACACTAACACATTCACGTATAGTAGCAACAATGGTGTGGAACAACTCATGTATTCTGGTCGTGTGTCCCATATTTCAGAATGGGTCATGCTGACCATGAGATCTCAGCCGCTTTCTCCAGATTTGACCAAGATGAGAACCAGACTTTGGACAAGCAGGAACAGGAGAGAATGAAACAAGAGCTGGAGGAAAAAAGGGTGTGTTTGGTTTTTATTTCACTTGGGCTGATTTGGCAAGTTCATATTCCTTCATTGTGACTAATCTAATATGGAGTCAGAATTTTTGATATTCATTTTTTGTCATTTTTTTTTATTAGGATGCACTCAGTGAAGAGCTTCATAATCTTGAAAACAGTGTTGAATCAGCAGAGGACCACAGAGAGAAGACAGTTCCTCCAGACGTCTTTCAGAGGTCTGTGTTCAGAATCATTGGGTTTCTCAGCCATTTCCAAGTTTTTTTTTTAAATGAATGTATATATTATTCCAGTTTTTAGTTTTAGTTTGAGTTAACAGTAACAACACTGTTCATGTTTAATTTGAATAAACATACATTTCAGACTGTAAGTGCATTTCTGACTTTTATTATTATTTTGTTATTTTTGCCTTTCCATTCCAGGCTGGTTCACAAAGTTGCTCAGCTTGAAAATGCTGTGATCACTATATCGTCCAAACTGGATGTTATCATGGAGAAAGTGAGACTTCAAACATTCAACACAGACAACAAAGACACGGATAGGCAGACGACTAGAGATGATGTGAGTTTTTAGATCTATAGAAGTTACGACATCATACTTTAAATGATTCAAGATATAAAATTTTTTCATTTACAAATAAATAACTAAAGGTTTTAGGGTGTTAAATACACGAATCATGCTTATATTGTAGAAAATATATAAAGCCATGCTGCTGTATTGTGACAGGAATCAAGACCGGCTTCAGGAGGGAATATTCAGGAAAACCTGGAAAGAGCCTTGGCTCAGGGACCAGCATCCTGGTCATTAGCTGGTCCGATGGGGGATACGAGGAATCGTTTGTACCCAGATGTCGGATGGCCAGTCGTCACGGAGAACAGTAGTTCTGCACGTCACTGATTCATCAAAACCTGAGTTTCAAACTGACTAATAATTGGCTTCATTTAAGCCTGGTCTGTGGATAAACAGACCGTAGAGAGGAAGGTATTACTGTAGAATAGACGTAGTACTCTATGTTACCAGCGGCACAGAAATGTATCTGTTCTCCATACTGACTTGTTTTACATGTGCAGTTACTGTGGCATTTATAAGAGGTGATATGATTGACATTTGGATTATCTTCCATTTGTAATGTTAAGCACAGTGTAATTGATGTATTGTGGTGTGTAAAATACATTCCCTCGAGTTTCTGGGAGTTTCAACTATATCAGGCTAATGATAACTATTCTTCAGATCTTCCTTCCTATTGAAGGTCTCATTTTCATGATTACTATTAGTTCTTATGAAACAAATTCTCCTGTAATCTCATGGCTAACAGATTCTTTCCAGTCATACAGTATGGAGACTTCGCTGAGAGCTAAATTTAGTGAGGATAGAGTCACTGTGTTACATTTGACATATTGTTATGAAAAGTCATCAGTGCAATGTGTATTAGTCTTTGGAAAGTTAATATATACTTTTAACGATGATTTACTTAAACTTTCTTTACCTTGATATGAACCTCTTGTAAATGTATTTTATAGTGTGAAGCATATCAGTGTATACAGACTAGTATAGTTTATACATTAATCTTGGAACAATATTGCTTGTATATTTTAAAATATATTTATATTTACGTAATATTTATCTCTTTCTTCTTTCCTAATTGACATTAATTATAAGCAAATAAATAATTGAAATGGCAAAACAAATGGTTGTTACTTGCTCTGTTGAAACCAGGCCATAATTCAGTTTAGAAAAAAAAGAAGAGAACAATGTTTCTTGTCCAATGGTTCATTTATTGAGACTCATTTAGACTAAAAAGAAAACTTGAAATGCTAAATTGTATTCAAACATTTCTGCCTTTTACATTCAATGCTTTGAGCAACCTCAATATTATGGTTTGAAACATGCGATTTCTTAATATCCCCAGGGGAAAAAAAAAATCCAATCCTTTTTTCTGGCTACTCAAAAATGGCACGCATATTTGTTAAAACAGCAAAGGGACAAATTTACAGTAGGCTCTAAGATAAATCACACAGCTCTCTACGAGGGTCTCAAAGTGTTCAACTGAAATATATGTGACTGAGCAAAAATTAAGGCTTGCTTGTAAATGTCAGTCACATGTAACATTTGTCTAACATACGCTACGCTGCGTTAGTTCTGCAAAAGTCGTCAAGTAGAGCGCATGCTTTGAAACCCTTATTCCAGGCCAAGATATCAAAAGATATTTACAGGTATGGCCATTATGACCCTTTCTCCATAGTGAACGGGAGAGATTTCACTGTCTGTAAATTGGAGTAAAAAGATACATTATACACACGGTATCAAAGAGCTCTAGTATTGGAGGAGAACGGGGAGCTAATGTGGATTAAATATACACCACTGCACATAGAAATTCATTTACAAGACACAGGTCCAATGAACCCCCAAAAAGTGCCTTTACTTACATTTGTTTGCCAAGTCAGAAAGCAGAATGAAAGTTTTTTTTTGTTGCTGTTTGATGTGTTTTTGTACAACATTTAAAGTCCATACTGTAATGAACAAGCAAATGCATGATCAGCTATTTAGGAAGAGAGAAAAAAAAAAAAAAAAAAAAGGCTGTCAAGGTTAACTTAAAATACACAAAAGGTTGCGGCTTAGTTCAAAAAACCATTTACACCACAGGCTTTCTGCAATGTACCTGTGAAGTTCCTGAAGCTGGGATTTAAGGGAAAATCAGCAACTTTCCTCAAGATATGCAGTAAAAAAAGGGTGGGGGGCAAGAGATACAATACATCTGCTCCAATTCCACTAAAACAGGAACAAATCTTGTGAATGATTTCAGATTTCCATTGAAGGAGCTCATCTCAATTGCCTCTTTAATCTAAATTTGAATCTTTACAATAAAGCAATTCCTGCTTCAGATCCAAAGCTTGTAGGGAAAAAGATGATGTGCACCTATCAGTCTTTAGCAACCCTCCCTATGAGAGCAGGATCTAAAGAAGTGAGAGCCGTGTGTTATGAAGAACCAAGGTCAGATCACTGTGTCTGGTATCCAGCCATGCCAAAGTTAGCCTGGTTCATCACTGGGCCAGGCTGAGCCTGAGAGGGTTGCGTCCCAAAACCTCCCATCCAGGCCGGGGACTGTGATTGTCTGGAACAACAAAAAGTGGGTGTAAACATACCCACAAGTTCTGCATAGGTACAACATGATAGATTACATACATAGAAATACATGAAAACTCACTCTACACCAAATCCTTGCTGATTCCATGTTTGCCCGTACATTCCATAGGACGGCACTTGCCAGCCATTCGTCATGTACTGACCGTATTGTTGAGGATTGCCGTACACTTGATTCCAGTGTCCCCACTGACTGTACTCCATCTGTGAATGCAGCATCAAGAACTTGCGCTTAACTTGTGCGTCTAGGTGAAAAAAACACACACTGGCCTGATTTAAACAATGTCTGTATGGGAAGGATTTAATAACACATTAAAATGAGATTATGGTAATTATAAAGCAAATTCACAAGAATTACCGGCTGGACATTTTTGGCCATGTCAGGTGACTCTTTGCCCCAGTAGCACTTCACAACATGACCTTCGATGGTGGTTCCATTCACTGAGACGATGGCATGAGCAGCACTTTCATGAGAGGAGAACCTGAGAGAAAATGATGCTGGTGTATGAAGAAATGTGAAGAACACAGCAATCCTATTGTTTACAAAAAAATTAGGACTGTCTTTGTCACCATGTGGCTAACTAAATCTTGACGCTCCCTTTAAAAATAACAAATCTATAACACAACAGAAATAATACAGAAACTAGAAACATTTCTTATTATTAACAATGTAAAAAACAGTTGTGCTGCTTATTATTTTTAAAGAAACTGATACTTTTTTCAGGGTCCTTGAATAGAAAGGTCAAAAGAACAGCATTTACTTAAAATAAAAATCTTTTGTAACATTATACATGACTGATCAATTTAATGTGTCTTTGCTCTTTAAAAAAAAAAAAAAAATTACTGACCACAGACTTTTGAACATTTGATTTTTTTCAAAGCCTTAGATGTGTAACAAGACTAAGAGCATGACTGATTTTTTTTTTTGCTGCCCGCTGTTGGGAAAACAGTGAAATATTAGGCTGACATTTGGCCTTTTCAATTTCAGTATTTTGCATTTTCCATCACTACATTCTTACTATTATTATGTACAAATGGTATATAATGAGATTCATTATAATTAATTAATTAATTAAGAGATTTCTTTGGAAATGGTGGTGGTTGAGGAGATTCTCCGTTTCTATGTAAAGTGCTTTGAGTGCCCAGAAAAGCGCTATATAAATGTAAGGAATTATTATTATTATAATAAGTCATCAGCCACTCTGCTCTCTAGATATCAGCCCTTACTAGGAACCATTAAAGGGTTAGTTCACCCAAAAATGAAAATTCTGTCATTAATTACTCACCCTCGTGTTGTTCCAAACCATAAGACCTTCGTTCATCTTCGGAACACAATTTAAGATATTTTTGATGAAACCTGAGGGCTCTCTGACCCTCCCATAGACAGCAAGGTAACTACCACGTTCAAGGTCCAGAAAAGTACCATGATGATTGACAAAGTAGTCCTGTGACGTCATTACACCGGATCTGGGTCAGCGCCGCCACAAGCTCGCGTCATGATACTGTCGTGAACGTGCGTACAAAGTGACGAAGTAGAGACGAAAATGTGGAATAAAGTCGTTATTTTTGTTTTCTTTGCGCAAAAAAATATTCTCGTAGCTTCGTAACTTTACAGTTGAACCACTGATGTCACACGGACTACTTTGTCGATCATCTTGGTACTTTTCTGGACCTTGAACGTGGTAGTTACCTTGCTGTCTATGGGAGGGTCAGAGAGCCCTCAGATTTCATCAAAAATATCTTAAATTGTGTTCCGAAGATGAACGACGGTCTTACATGTTTCGAACAACGCGAGGGGGAGTAATTAATGACAGAATTTTGGGGTGAACTAATCCTTTAATGTCTTGCAATATGGTGCTTCCACAATATTTTACATTACACACAGACTGTGGACAGACTGTTTCTTAAATATAAGAAAACTAAAAACAGGAATAGCTGAATGATACCTGACAAAAGAATAACCCTTCTCTGGAAAAACTCTGATCTCCATTATCTGCCCGAAAGGAGAAAACGTCTGTCGCATAAGGTGTTCTGTTTGAAGAGAACAGTATAAGTCACATGACAATGCACTAAGAGTGAGCATGCATACTCATACTCAGAACGGGAAAGTAAAAGGGCAAGTGCAGATGTACCTGTGAGACCTGACTGAATGCCACCGCAGTACACTGTGCAGTTCTGAGGACTCGACTGGTTCACCACCTCATCAAATCTCAGCTGCTTGGAGCTGTCTGAAATTTTACCAATTCAGTCATGGTAATTCAGCTCAACTCTAAAGGTGGTAAACAAATAAAAGACAGAGTGGATCAAAATCTGGCTTACTGTCTTGCACACTCTTGGGGGCTGGAGGTTTGCGAGTTGCCCAGTTAGTCCGGATTTGCCGTCCACCAAGCCACTGACCCCCCATGTGTACTATGGCATTCTCAGCATCCTAGAAAAGAAGAAACGACAGATTTAACAAACAAACAAACAAATGTAAACTTAAAAGCAAAACAAAAATATAATCTCACAGCAACACTTCTAGTCTTTCATTAGTTCCTCTGTATAATTAGGAACTACCCACATAAATGTCCTAGTTTGCTTTTAATTACTACTACTAAACTGACTAAAATCTTACACTCAAACAGAAAACAACTCTTAACAGTATGACTCATTCCAGTAGGCTGAATATCTGTAATACTACAGCTATAATATGAAATGTAGTAAACAGAAATAGAATAACCTTCACTCTGTGTTCCTGTACTGGAGCCTTACCAGTTTGTTATAGAAGGACACAAATCCATACCCCTTTGATTTCCCTGTTGTCATATCCTTCACCACTCGTGCATCCCTGCAAGAAAAACGTAACGACGGAAAAGTCAGTCCGCTGATGGCTTGCTAGAGGATCTCAAAAAGAAAGGAACCACACACACTGTACTGTACTGAGAGACACTGTCATAAATAAGTTGCTCTAAAAAATCTTTACACTAACAACTTCTGCATAATATTCTCTTGATTACTGGTACTTTAAAAAATATATATGAAATAAAAAACAAGTACAAAGTCATGCAACCTACACTACTGCATGTATATTTAAAAGCTCCTGCAAAGATTTCAACTTTTCCTGTGACAACATAATGATCCAATCTTCATCTTAATCACTAGTACTTAATCTCTCATATCATCAATGTCATTACCATGCATTCCTAACTTCAACAGCTGTTTCTAATTCTACTCAAGAGTACATAGAAATATCACAAGAGAAAAAGGAATTAAACGGCATACATGGCCTGTTAACAGATTTCTTTATTTTTCCTGGTCAATTCTTTACCACCAATATGGAGTTTGGGAAGCTGCAAATTTCGAGAAATTAACATTTTCAGAATTTTAGGAGAATCAAACTATCAACACAACTAGGAAAACCATCATAAAACAATTTGTACAAGCAAATATTCATGAATTATCTGAGGTTTGTTAAAAGTCTACACTACGTCAGCGTTAATAGGAAAATACTGCAGTATACAAATATGAAAAGCAAAGAGTAAATAGAAAAAAATCTACATCTGAGTTCCCAGAGTGCACAGTTCCTTGCTGTTAGCCTTCAAGCTCCTGTCCAATCCTATGAGCATTTCTGTAAAATAACCAGAGCTCTATTAACTGACACTCAGAGCTAAAGGAGACTTTTGCAGAGTATCAGTGTATCATGTTTTTTGTGTTGAGAACTAAAAATGTTACTTTTTAGGTAAATCAAAACTACTTACCAATTTCGGAAAAGCAGTGGAGATTAGTGATGAAAATGTTTTTAAGGTGCACTTTAGATCGATCCAGAGACACAATATTGACTATACTGCCTTGTGCTTGCTGATAATACCCATTATGGGACTATTAAAATCATCAATGCAATTAAAGGGGGGTAAGCGATTTCTGGTAGCCAATGTTGACATTTGAAATCACCAAAACAAACACGCCCCTACCCCAAAAGGGTCTCGCCCCTATTTTGATAGCTCCGCCCCACACATACATACGCAACCCAGGCAACGATTAGTTCTGTGAAACAAAGCAAAACCAATGTTACACACCGTGACGGCACGGCAAGACACGACAAATCCCCGAAAGAAAACTGCTGCTGCGTTCTATTCATGACGTATTGACACAAATTTCAAATGATTTTCAACGGTCGCTTTGTCGCGTCCAGTGTACTAGACAGACTTTAGCTGTTGCGGCGCAAACACGGTGTTACTCACCTGTGGAGAAGAAACAAAGCAACCTCGCCGTCCGATCGCAGGCCTCCGCTCCTTGAGTTCTCTCCAGCGCTGGAAAGCTGATCTGATATTTACACGGCTCCTACTTCTTGCCTTAAGCCTTCTTTTGTTCCGCAGACGTTTTCCTCTTTTGTTTTTTATCCGCCATCTCTAACTTTCTGTCGCTCGGCTCGGCTAATGTCCGTCCTGTGCACCGAAGGCTCTCTGCTCCACATCAAGTTTGTTTTTCTATTCGACCCGAATCAGTTTTCTAAAGCGTTTTTGAAAAATCGCTTACCCCACCTTTAAATATTAAATTTAAACCAAAATTATGGTCTCTAAAACACTGACATCCTATTCTCAACTGCTGTGACAAACCTGTAGACATCTAAGTGTTTTATATAAAGGTTTCATTACTGACAGAAATGTGACAAAATGTGCTAATCCCAGCACAAATGACAAATGTAAAATAAATGTTTATCTTTGAATCAATTTCTTAGCAAAATTAGTAAAAATATTTTTAAATAAATAAAAACCTTTGAAACAGTTTCCATGGTTTTAGGAAAACAGGGGTTAAAAAAAACTATATATCGATTACCACATACCACCACTTGACATTATTCAGACAAAATGCATTCCACTAAAGGGTGTGACTTCTGGGAACTTACGAGATTTTCCCAAAGGGTGCAAATGCAGCTCTGATGTCATCGGTTGTGATCTCAGGGCTCAAATCTCCCACAAAAACATGAAAGTGATCTACAGAAGAATGACATTTAACACGTTACTACATTTAAGAAAATCTAACCTGAAAAAACAACCACTATATACATATTACAAAAGAACTTACTGGATGTGTCTTTCTTCTGACTGCTAGGAGTGGTCGCCCAATTTACCTTGACTTCCTGTTAATAAAATATACCACTTGAAGGCATTATCTTTGGAAATATGATATTCTGGGTGCAATACTTCACAATAAACATCAAACCACACTCATCTTGTTATACTTGTCTAATGAAACAATGCCACAAGATATACCTTTCCCAAAATCTTCCTTCCGTTCATGGCGGCCAAAGCAGCTGCAGCGTCTCTGTATTCAAAGAACTCCACAAAGCAATACGGATCATTGCTAGTATGCTGCAAAACAGAAAATCCAATAGAGTTCACCTTCCTGCTGCTATCGGACTGCTGAGAAGAAAAGCCAGGAAAATATATTATTGCAAAGTCATGGGTATTATGTGGAAGACTGTTTAATATTTTCTGTCGTCATTTGGTGTGATTTTAAGAAAATGTCTAGGATAATTTTAAAAGCAAATTTATTCCAAATATAAATGCTAATGTAGAGTTTGACAGGCATTTCCACACAAAGCCATTTTCACTGAACAACTAAAGAACATTTCAGAGAACATTTGAATTGTAATTTGTGATGGATGTTTACCTCTGTTATCATTTTACAACTTTTACATGGCCCAATCTGAGTAAACAACTGAAGGATCAAGTTCTCTGTTACATCTCTTGAAAGATTCCCCACATAGCTGAAAATACAGAAAAAACATTAAAAAGATATAAACAGTAATTACAGATTGACCACGTAATTCAAGAACATAATATCACATAAGATTCTTTTGCATTTTAATCAGATCATCTACTTCAGATGTTTTCCAAAAAAGGTGTATTTATACATGAGCCAGGCATTGATCTGACAGCCCCTTTACGCCCAAATGACCTCAGGACGGGAACACACATTACTAAACTACTGAAACTATGTGCGACAGTTAAACAAAGAGCTATTTCACGAGAGATTTTTATCCTACATTGTAATACCAAACACAAAATTCATACTTCTAGAGAAGACGGCAGGCCTGAGATTAGATAACAGGCCTTTACTGAAACAGCAGACAATGACATACTCGTTCAAACACATTGACACTAGATATGATGGTTTATTGGTGTACATATTAAACCCATATACCATAACCTATGAAATACAATTCAAATGTAGCTATGCTCTTTATATTTGCCTTGCATTTAATTGTTTTGATGAATAGCAGGTTTGATTAATTAGCCGCTAGCTTAGCTTAAGCATGCTACGGCTACAGATGTTTCCCACAATTGCCGGAAAAATAGGAAAGCTTTTCGATCTTTCTGCTGTAAGGAAGGTGAAATAATGACTGACCGAAACTCTACCTATTATAAGCAGTGATTACTAACAGCACATGATGTCAAAAACGTTGGTAGGACGTCGTTTTTGGAGCTAACGTTAGCTGTTAGAAGTGTGTCAGTAGTGCTGTAGACTGAGCGGTTCTTCACTGAGCACTTGACAGGGTTTGTGTTTTCAGCTACTTACAGGGTTTTGGGGTGGCTCTCGTCTTCCATTCTTGAATGCCGGAAGGAGTGCTATCAAAACTTGTTTTCAGTATCTCAGATGTAGTTTATTTTTAGGCTGAACAACACTGGACTGGTGTTACTTTCAATCTTGAGTAGAAAATGGCGGAACCTGACTAGTCAGGAAGACAGTCACTGCGCATGCGCAGAAGTAGCCGGTTTTGGAGGGCGATGGATCTGACGGGAAAGGAGAGTTTGGCAAAATCAGTGTTTGTGTAAATGCATGTCTGAATATATCATGTATCACAGGTATCTTACTTGATTATATGACCTTGCAGGTTATGTATTGGTATGCTTTCATTCAGCCTATTTTATTTGTTTTAGTGACCACTTGTTAGAGCTCCAATGAATATCTGTCTTTCTTTGGCAAGAAGTAACATATTGGCAGGGCACGCAGATATAGAGACGCACTGAACCCAGGTAATATTTTTGTGATTATTAGTGTACTGATTATACTGCAGAAATATTATTCAGAAATGAACATGTATTTTCCCCCATGTGTATTGTGATAGAAAATTTAAATTGTTGCAATGTTTTGTTAATATTGTGTGTGCGCGCCCGCACATCTGCTAAATTGTTTTATTTTTAGTATTACATTTTATAAATTATTATATTTCACATATAGAAATATCCAGGAATTTGACTTCCCACGATTAGCAGTGACACAAATATGGTTTCAGTCCCCAAAAAATGTTTTGTATTAATAATTTACATTATTTCATTGTATTAAAAATGACAGATTACTCTATTTCATATATAGATACAACCCAGGGATTATGCTGCCTCCTCAAATAATTTCGGATTGTAGAAGCAAAATGGAAAGAAGATAAAACAGGTTTTCCTTGAAATGTATCAATACTGACTGTCTTTACGTTAAAAGAGCAACAAGTGTGCTCGGTCTAATAAACCGGAGGGGGAGGCGATTCAAGTATCAGAGAGGATCTGTGTCTGGACAGTCAAGGGGTAATAAATAATTTTTGGTCACACACGTGGGCGTCACAGTGAACCCTCAGCTAGAACTTTCTCGGTAGTCTTCAGAGGGACCTTGCTGCTTCGAGAAATCCGTCCCCGTTTACAGTACGTCATCAAACGGACCCTTAAAAGCGTCTGTAGCGGCTGTAATGGCACAATATTCGGGAGCGAAGCAATATCAGAGTATGAAAACACTGTCTCCAGTCGAAACGATGGCAACTAACGATCCTCTACCACCTGGGTGGGAGATCAAAATTGACCCGCAGACAGGTTGGCCGTTTTTTGTGGATCACAACAATCGCACAACGACGTGGAATGATCCGAGGCATGACACGAAAAAGGTAAGGTAGATATTGATTGTGCTTTTGGAAGTTGCGCTGTCAAACGCGAGCGTTTTTCAGGCGATCTTACAAATGCAGATCAACATATGAGGTGTGTTTTATAGACTAGTTTGGGCATTATGGCATTTTAGAGTGTGTTTCATCGAAAAAGACAGTTTTGTTGAGTGCGTAGGCTACGATCCCACTCAGTACATCCACATCGTACTTGATCAGACACTGTCTACGGTAGAGGAGCCACGCACTTGATATTCGCCGAAGCTCGCGCGTGAATCGCAGTCACCTCTGTGGAAATAGCGCTTCGCGTGCATTTGAACGGCCTGACGGCATATACACGGGCGAAATATATTAGTGTGATGATCTCAGCTGAAGTGATTAGTGTGTGACGCACTGCAGTCATATGTGAGAGTGTTAGAACGACTCCACAATGTTTATTTAAAGGCTCGAGAACCACGCACACTGCGCTTGTTCTCCACATCCCTGGAACCGCACAGCACTAACGCGTCCCTCAAAGTTTCCCTTACATGGGATTTCAGAAAGATCCACCCACTCACCGATTCTGTCATTCCCAATGAATGGGCTTGAAAGTTACAAACTGGAAGTGTCAAACTGTTCTCCGCACATCAGGTTCAGGGAGTCAAAAATGTGGGGGGGAACACGAGGGCTTGCCAGTTGGCATCTTTCATTAGATAGATCAACACTTGTCCGAAGTTAGTGTCACCAAAAATCTGCTGGAAAGACAGCTGCCAGGAGATAAACTGAGCGCTACTCTTGGCTTCTGTCAAAAAAAAAAAAAAAAAAGCAGAGGTCACGAGGTCATATACGCTAACCAGTCACTATTCTCTGTTTAGCATCTTGGTTTTTAATCCGTTTAGTAAAACTACATTGTAAACCTTAAATCATACATCTTTGACCTTTTTCAGGCCCAGGACTCAGATGTGTTGCATTTTAAGCTTGTCCAATAATAACATGCATATATTGCCATATTAATGTGCTTGTATATTTAGACCTGTACAAGACATTATATTTGAATTTGGGAAGGAAAATGAAACGAGTAGCTGAACTTCAGCTTCTTAACTTTAGCATTTAGTATAAGTTTAGCTTGTAACTTGGCGACATTTCAGTGGAATTTCGTGAGCAAAAAATTCCATTGCCAACTTTTGGTAGTGTAGCAATTAATGAAGCTGTCGCTTTCAAACGGAGCGGCTTTCTGTTGGTCAACGCAATGAATCATGTGACCAAACTGATCATGAGCGAAATCTGCACGGGAAGCTTTTTCGCAATTCCAATTGAAATGACTGGATTTCTCTTGCGAAGTTTTCGCAGAGCCAACATTAGATGTGACCATCTCTTCATTCAGGAATAATTGCCTCCCTGTCTTAAATGATGTAGCTGCTTTGCTGTTTCAACATCAGAATAGGTGTTTCTTGATGATTTGTTAGGGATTTTATCTCTTTTGATGTTTGTTGTGTCTGTGTAACTCTGATTTACATTGAGTAAGGGAGGCCCTCCCCCTCACAAAGAGTATTTTAAGACACAGTGTCAACAGCACAGGAACCCATTGAAAAATGCTACATAGAGTGAGTCATGGCGTTAGAATCGACAGCATACAGAGTATATCCTGTAAGCCAATGCCATCGCTTAACAGTTGCTGTGCACAGTGAGTTTTTACCCACTCATGTTTCATGTTTGTTCCTGGACTGCCTCGTCATTGAGAGAGGGCGGACTGACGTTTGCGTGTCAAACAGATGAGGAGAGAAGACGCGAGACACGTTCAAATTGAGTGTTACATTTATGTATTGAATTGAAGCAGTGACTGAATCCCCTAGCATGTTGGTTGGTTGCCTGCAATAACGTTTAATATCATTTTACATTAGGCAGATTTACAACGGGTGGAATTCGCATGTAACTGAGTGTGACTAGTTGTAAAAGCCTACAACTTGACAGTGATGTGACGCTAATAGGAAAAATGTAGCAGGTGTAAAATACTGTTAATCAACACATAATGTGTCATATAGAGTATCTATGTCTAATAGAAGAGTGACTTTTAGTTAAAAAATGTGTGTCATCATAACTGATAATACAGGAGTTTGAATATTAGACATTGTGCTTGTTAGTAATGCTCCATTTCACTCTTTATGTTTGTCAAAGTTTAGCTAACTCCCAAAAGTTTGTCCCCATTGTGGCTGAGTGTGATGTATACTGTTTAACAATACCATTATTTCATTTTACAGTTCAGATTAATCATCGGAAAGATGATCTAGCTCCTGATTTTATGGGATTATTTCACAAAAACATCTACATACCATTATCTCTGGCTTGTTTTTAATATTTTAATATTCTAAAAGTCATTGGTGCAAGTAAAAATATTTTGTTTATGCTGTCTGTAATGCCATTGTTGATAATTTGAGCTTTTTCAATAACCCAGCCAACCACATGCTTTAGTTATTTGCCTTCTCCTGCAAAACAATTTAGCATATAGCTACTACATACTTGAGCAAAGCCGGACTGAAGAGCATCATCAGAAGTGACGTTGTCGATTAGACGTATGATGCAGAATATTTTGTCTCATCATTACTTGAGGATACAACAATCGTGAATACAAATAATGAGATCATTTTGAATAGATCTTTCAATCCTTTTTTTTTTTCTTCTTTTTTTCAGATTTTTTCAAATGGCCCCTCTATGTCCCCTGAGTCTCCTCAGGACATGCACAAATCCTTTATTCAAGAGATGAGGCAACCAATGCTACGCCAGGACTACATCCCCATCCCAGTCTCCCATGAAAACACTGAACCCAGGCTGCAGCAGTATCCGAGTTTCTCCTACATCCACCCAGCAGTGCAGCAAAGTTTGAGAACAGATGGACGTACACCTTCCCCGACCCCAGCATCCCACTGTCGGCCTAGATCTCCAGTGCAGGCCCCATCGGAAGCATGTTTGTCTTGCTCACCTGCTTTACACGGGCCTGAGGTAAGACCAATAGGAATTGTATTTCTCTATTAGACATGGCAGTCTCTGTCGGGCTATGGATTCATTATGAAAGAATTGCATGAATTCATGTTTGCTTCTGGAGGTTTTATTTATAAGTTTTCATTGGGCCCTGCCCCTGTGTTTTCTTTTCAAAGTTTAAAAAATTGAGTTTAAAGGGATAGTTCACCCCAAAATGAAAATTATGTCATTAATTATTCACCCTCACGTCGTTCCAAATCCGTAAGACCTCCGTTCATCTTCGGAACACAAATTAAGATATTTTTGATGGAATCTGAGAGCTCTCTGACCCTCCATAGACAGCAACGCAACTGAAATGTTCCCAGACAGAAAGGGATCAAGGACATCGGTAAAACAGTCCATGTGACATCAGTGGCTCAACTTCAATTTTGCGAAGCTACGAGAATACTTTTTGTGCGCAAAGAAAACAAAAATGACGACTTTATTCAACAATTCTTCTCCCCCGAGTTACTGTCTTCCGCCATTTTGGAGAGTATCACAACGCATACGCACGCTTTACCCTAAGTGTAAACAACGCTGATTACGCCGATTACGTTCATGCGCACGCTTTTCCCCCTTAACGTAAATGTATTAAAATTGTCAGATTACGTTCTTGGGTACTCTCCAAAATGGCAGAAGACATAACTCGGGGGAGAAGAATTGTTAAATAATTTGTTATTTTTGTTTTCTTTGCGCACAAAAAGTATTCTCGTAGCTTCACAAATTTGAAGTTGAACCACTGATGTCACATGGACTGTTTTACCGTTGTCCTTGCTACGTTTCTGTCTGGGAACATTTCAGTTGTGTTGCTGTCTATGAAGGGTCAGAG